AACTCCCTGGGATATTACCTGCTGATCCTAGGTGCCATCAGTTGTCTGCCATCAGACCTGTAGACCTTTCATTCATTCACCTCTCCAGTCACAATCCTGTTCTGCTGACTTTGAGTTCATCAACCTCAACAACCTGAGCTACTTCTACTGCTCTTCAGGACATCAGCCTCTAAAGGCACATAACTCAGAAGAAGCCTCCTACTTAACATATGACCTATGTGTTTGAAACCATACTAGATTTCCCTACTTCCACAACGGAGTCATTTTTAAAATATAAATTCTCTGTGTATCTATCTATGCACACATATATACATATATATATACACACACACAAACATATAAAAATATGCACAGTCTGTACCAAAAAGAATTAATTGACATTCAGTTATTTTAAGAAGTAGCATTTGAGCCAGAGCCAATGGTATTGAGGAAGAAGTGCAAGCTGCACTGAAAGCGATGGCTCCAGGAATTGATGGAATACCAATGGAAATGTTTCAACCAGCTGATGAAACACTGGAAGCCCTTACTCATCTGTACCAGGACACTTGGAAGAAAATTACTTGGCCAACTGACTGGAAGAGATCCATAGTTGTACACATTCCAAAGAAGGGAGACCCAATAGAATGCACAAATTATAGAACAATATTATTAATATCATATGCAAGTAAATTTTTGCTGGAGATCATCCAATAATATTTGTAACCGTGTATTGACAGGGAACTGCCAGAAGTCAAAGCTGGATTCAGAAGAAGACATGGAACAAGGGATACCATTGCTGATGTTAGATGGATCTTGGCTCAAAGTAGAGAATACAAGAAGGATGTTTAGTTGAGTTTTATTGACTATGATACTGCATTCAATGGTGTGGACCACCACAAATTATGGTTAACTTTGAGAATAATGGGAATCCCACCATACTTAACTGTACTCATGTAGAACCTCTACATGGATCAAGAGGCAGCTATATGAATGGAACAAGGAAATACTGCATTGTTTAAAATCAGGAAAAGTGTGCAATAAGGTGGTATTCTCTTGCCATACTTATTAAATCTCTATCCTGAGCAAATAATCTGAGAAACTTGATTATATGAAGAAGGATGGGCATCAGGATTGGAGGAAGGCTTATTAACAACCTTCAATAGGCAGATGGCAACACCTTACTTGCTTAAAGTGAGGAGAACTTCAACGATTTGCTAGCAAAAATCAAGGATTTCAACCTTCAGTTTGGATTAAAACTTAATGTAAGAAGACAAAAATCCTCACATCTGGACCAGTAGGTTACATTATGATAAGTGGAGGAATATATTGATGCTCTAAGGATTTCTTCTTGCTTAGATCCACAATCAATGCTCCTGGTAGCAGCAGTCAAGTGCTCAAACAATCCCTTGCATTGGGTAATCTGCTGCACAAGATGCCTTTAAAGTGTTGAAAAAGTAAGGATGTTACTTTGAATTACTTTGACTAAGATGCGTTTGACTCATGCCATAGTATTTTTCATTGCCTCATATGCATATGAAAGGTTGGACATTGAATAAGGAAGCCCGAAGCAGAGTGACTACATTGGAATTCTGGTGTTGGTGAAGAATATTGAAAGTACCATGGACTGCCAGTAATACAGCAGATCAGTCAACTGATCTTACAGGAGATATGCCAGTAATACAGACTGAATTCTTTTTTTAGAGGCAAGGAGGATAAGATGTCATCTCATGTACTTTGGACATGTTGTCAGGAGAGACCAGTCCCTGGAGAGGTACCTCATACTTAATAAAGTAGAGGGGCAGTGAAAAAGAGGAAGGCCGTTGAGAAGTTGGATTGACACAGTGGCTGCAACAATGGGCTCAAAACATAAGAACAATTGTGAAGAGGTTGCAGGACTGGTCAGAGTTTCATTCTGTTTTACACAGGGTGGCTATGAGATTGAACAGATATAACACCAGCATATGTCCATAATTCAGCCTAATACATTCAATATTTTTTTTACTTTCCAGTGATAGTCATTTATTTAACTTGCTTGGTCTGCTATAAACTTTGTATAAACTTCTAAAAAGAGACACATTTAGTCTATAACTAAACATTGTGTGTATTATTAGAAAACTAAAATTAAAAATGTGATAAAAGAGCTATTAATTTTCAAACTTATTGTGAAATACTTTTTGGCTTAATCAATAAATATTCAATTTTAATCTCATTAGAAATACCTTATTCACACTTAAATCAATTAACGGCATGGAACCGTAGACCCATTCCTTTATGTTTCTGAAATTGTCAATTACAAATACAGGTAACAGAATATAATTGAACCATTTCATAGTGTGAAGTAGTGATGTCTTCTTTTTTAAGTCCTTGTACCTGTAAATCATAGCAGGTAACACATCTTAAAACTGAGGGGACGGGACTGACGCATGCATTCACACACACTTAGTGTAACTCTTCACACCACGTTCTATAGAGCGCTGCAATATTTGTCAATTAATATTACTCATACCTAAATATTTTAAACATACTTAATTTCATCAAAATTAATAGGAAATGTCTAGCTTCACAGAGGAGAGCCGTGTCTTAGGCCACCCTGTATTTTAAAACTATTTTGGGATAGGCCCACTAACCCAACAGGAGGAGAAGGACTAGTTTTCTACGTGAACTCGTCCCCAAAGCTTCATTAACTCTAAACTTCCCTTCAAGTCCAGAGGCTCCGGTTCTCACCCTGAAACCACATGCTTCTTTCAGGACTCCTGGAACAGTACTCATCAACTTTAGCTTAGTTTGATCTATAAAAGGCGACCAGTTACGATTCTGACATCTCTTCATAGAATGGTTGTATTCTGTACCAGAATTACACGCATGAAAGCTTGCGACTGAGTTGTGCCCTCCAGTTTGATAATGACTACAAAATAAGTAAATAAGGAAAAGAAAGAAAAATGGTAAAGATTACTCTAATGCATACATACTGGAGAGTTTTTAGAGGGAGACTAGACATACACACGCAGCAGGAACATGCAGAGGTCGGTAGGACAGCTCTCTGGGCTTAACTCTTGGCTTAACTGCTGCTCATGGCGGCTCCCACTCACTGCTACCAAGTCCATTCTGACTCACAGCAACCCTGTAGGACAGGGACGAACTATCCCTGTGGGTTTCTGAGACTGTAATTCTATAGGACTAGAAGATGTCATCTAGCTCCTGTAGAATTACAGTCTCAGAAATGATGTAGAGATGAATTATAAAGGGTTTAATTCTTCTAAGTTTTGTTAAAGATTATTTATACTTTGTAATGTTAAAGATGATCTATACTTTGTAAGACAAAGTAAGATTTATTAAATATATTGCAGTGAAAAAGAGATGGTACTCTTCCTCAAATTATTTTCTTTCTCCTCATTTATAAGATCAACATTTAATTAGTAATTAAATTCTGGCCCTTGTTAGATGATGGAAAGACAAATCTTTGCTTATTTATAAACATATTACAATATTTAAAGTGCGAAGAAAATGTAATATCCTTATTAATTATCTATTTCTAATAAAGCATAATCAATATAGTGATTTACAGGAAAGGTCACTATACTATAAATGGACTTCTGCTTGGGAGATGAAACAAATTTCTAAGCATGGTGTCACTTTGGGACATTTATATCCTGACTATAGAATTACAATGGCTTTTTATTTTAAGCCGTGGTAATTATTTGACGGTAAAATTACAAATAGCGACAGTGAAGGCAGTTCAGTGGATAAAGGCACTTCTGTGGACCTGCAATTCCTGCCCTGCTCCTAGACGCTGTTCCTAGACCCAGGATATTAGCCTATCACAGAGAGCATGGCAGTTCAAGGTCTTGAAATTTCCATCTGGTGAATGCAAGTCATCCCTCTGGAATTTGTCATTCCCGCAGAGTAATCGTCTGATTGACTGAGTCAATATGCTACTTTTCCTTTCAATTCCAATTCAATCAATCATGAAGCATTGAGGTGGCCGAGGGCACTGCCTGCCATGGGACCTGCCCATCTTGGATTCTGCAGCCTCTGGACCAACTAGAATCAGGAGAAGATTCCAGGTTGAAAAATAAGTCCCACGGGCACCTTACCAGTCTTCAACACTATCACTATTCCTTTGGGAGCAGATTCCGCAGGATGAATGGCAAGATGCCACCCAGCCTCCTGGACCTCACCATCCAGAGGGTGATGCAGGACAAGGTCTCACTCCTGGATGCTCTGGAGTGGCTGCCCTCCGATCTCTTCCCTCCCTTGTTCAAGGCCGCTGTGCTTGGGAGACAAAGAGAGATCGTGAAAG